CAATTAGAGCATCATTGTGTCATACTTTCTCTGTTGATAAATGATGTCTACATGACTTTCCGTCACAACTTTCAGCAGAAAGAAACATTGGAAAATTGTTTTCAGAATTAGTTAAGTGATGTGATGATGGTAATTACCTATCAAGGTTAAACCTGTTTTATGTCATCAGAGGAATTTATTTCGAGAATAAGGGACATAAAGGGGCCTTAAGGGTTGTAGTTAACTTTATGAAAAGAAGATGGGGCTGGGGAGTGGGGAGGTGGGGAACCTATAGGTTCCTTAAAATACAGCCAGGAAGAATAATGCAACATTCACAAAACTTCCCTGCCTCTGGGGTTCATGAGACAAAGAGCATGTTATTGTTCATCAGTTCCCAGCGTGACTGATCTGTTTTCCCTAGCCTGATCTTGTTTAACTTGGACTGGCTGAAGAGATCACAGTGCCAGTTGTCCTGAACATGGTCCAGAGTTCTTCCATGCAGTGTACGTCCTGTCATATCTCGACTCTTCTGCACCGCTCCAGATGCTTTCCTTCTAGCTTCCTTCAACTATATTTGTCATTTCCTAGTCTATGCCACTAAAAGATGTGGCTTCCTTTAAGCTGCTTGTCTGACAGTGCTGGTGGCTTGGTGGGCTTTACCTGATGGTGTTTTCAGCATCCTTTGGTGTTGATGCTATTCTCATCACCATGATTTTATTTCCACCCCTTGCCTCTTGCTCCCTGCAGCCATCCTGGACCTGACTGGCACCCGTGAGATTGAAGGAGTGTGGAAGAGTTCCACTATCTTACCATGCATCTATGTACCCATAGAGGACTTCAATCAAGCAACAGTCATTTGGACCATGGAGCGTGATCAAACCCCTGTCACTGTCATTCGAAGAGATCTCACTGGTGACCACACTCTGCTAACTCGGTATAGAGGCAGGGTCAGCATCCAAAAAGAAACCCCAGGCAATGTCTCCCTCCAGATTAAGGATCTTGAAATCCCAGACAGTGGGCGCTACACTTGCAAAGTCACCTGGAGAGCCCAGAATGACAGCCTGATAACAAAGGAGATGACAACTACAGTTCGAGTTGTTAAAGGTAAATATAGGGGTAAAATTTAAATACTTTGTGAATGAGATGTGGTATTTGGTAGGAGGCCTGGCTGCACAGCAGAAGTAGAGGACTATTTCTTTCACTGTGACTCACCACATCCACAGGGTTAGGGGCAGCATTTTATGGAGTCTCAGGGCTCTTCCTCACTGTACAACTTCTGTCTGCTCCCAGATTAGGAGGAAATAATTTGGGGGATGCCAATCATGTCTGTTAGAATGCAGGGTCCAGTCCAAGGCTCTGGGGAGATGCCTATGGCCACCCAACTCTGGGCCTGCCAGTGGCCAGCTTGAACCCAGTGCTACTTAGGACAGCCTTCAGCACTGTCTTATGTATGTCCAGCAACCTAATGTTCCTATGGGAAGTAGCTCAAGAACAGCTGGGATAATGCATTACTCCACCTCTATTATCTAGGGGATGCCAGAGCTCCCTTTGTGTGGTTTATGGGTGGTCAGAACAATGGCTCTACATCTGATGGAGAAGGATTTGCATGTTAGGAATATTTTTTTGAGAGAGATGAGGAGCTGCAACAAGTTAGAAGAGCTAGTGCAAATTGCTTCATGCCCTTTTCCATCTGAATAGCCATGAAGTACAGTGAAGCCTAGTCACACACTGGCTCCTTTCTCCATAACAACCTGCCTCTTGGGTCTAAATAACCCCTGGACTGTGGGCCTCCTCAGAAGCAAACCTCTTAATCTCTGTCTTTCAGTTGCAGTGTCCAAACCCATCATCACACCTGGTCATCTGGGACTGACAGTGCCGGAAGGGGCTAGGGCAAGCCTGACCTGCTCAGCCAGAGGGTCCCCACCCATCAGCTACCAATGG